CTCATAGAACATAGGTTTGAGTGAGGGAGGTGGCTAACAAATGAATAAGCAAATACATTGGTTGTTTCAGGTTGCTCTGGGTGCTTGAATGAACAAAAGCAGGGTAAGAGGACAGAGCATAATGGCAGGAGTGGGTAAGTGCTATTTTGAAGAGGATGGCCATGGCCCAAGTATTAGTCAAGGAACAAGCGCAGAGAAGAGAATCCACTCAGTTAGCTTACAAACATGATTTATCAGGTATAAGACAAGTGATTGCTGGAAAGGCTAAAGAAAAATATCAAGGCTGAATGTCTACAAGACACTCCCACATCCATATTTGCCTCTGATGGTCCACATTCACCTTACACACCTCACACGGTGTGTCTGATGGTGGCACCAAACCACAACCAGAACCTGAGCAGCAAAGAGGGAAATATAGTTTTTGCCTTTCCAGGCTCTGCAGTGGAATAAATGGAAAAATGCCTCTGTGAAAACACAACATTCTTGCAGGTCCCTGATTAATGAAGAACCAATGAAAGAAAGTGTTCCAGGTATATGAAACAAAAGGCTGAGAGCGGGAATAAGCTTGGTGTATTCACACAGCAGCAAGAAGGCCAGGGTGGCTGAAGCCTGGGCAGTGGGAGAGAAAATAATGAGAGATGAGGCAGGGAGGGTATTCAAGACCCAGGTCAAGTGAGTCTTACAAGCTTTGATAAGGAGTCTAAATTTATTTTCCTAAGTGAAGAAGGATGTTATAGGATGAGGATTTTAAGCAGAGGAATAACATGATTTAAATAACCTTTTAAATAGACCAATCTAGTTCTATAAATAGTTCTCCATGCCTGATTTATATCAATGGCTTAAAAACATACACTTTTAAAGTGACTTCATATGATCTTGTATGGAATAGCTTTTTAAATTAAAAAAAAAGGCCTATAAGGTAATATTTCTCAATCTATAACTCCGACACAGATACAGCACATGTTGAGCCTGGTCATCTCCACCTTCTCTAAGACCAAGAGGAGTAGCCAAAGGTAGCAGGCCCAAGCCTGGACATCTACCTCTTGCCAGGCTCCAGAAAGATGTGGTTAATCAAGGGGGATTTTTTTTTTTTTTAATAAAAAACAAAATTCAGGCCTCTGGACTTAGAAAACCTGAGAGTCTTTAAATCTGAAAAAATATTGCTAGTTAGAAATAAAAATGGAATTAGCTTCCAGCACTGAAATCAGCCTATTTTAAATAATCTTAGTGTTAAAGGTTTTTTGTTCCCTTCTCCAATATGCAGCTCAAAGCCAAAACATTTCAAACCCAAACAAGAGAATGAAATAAAAATAAAATCAACCAAATAAATTACATTTATTATTATTATTTTTTTAAAGTAAGCATTTCATACTAACATCCATTTGCAATGGACCACTTTCTTAAGGAGTAGAACCACTTAAAAGAAAATGTCAATTTCAAAACTGTTCCAGAATGGGAGTGAGGAGTTCTTGCCATAAGTACATGCCTAGTTTAGCAACTATTATGCTTCTGCCAGGAGCATTTATTACTGTTATGAGATCACCCATTATAACTGTGGTCTGAATGTTCTAATTTGCTTTCCTTTTTACAATGTTAATGTTTCAAGCTTTTGAGCCCAAACATATTTTGCTCCAATTAAAAAAAAATCCACGAAGCAAAACTGCAGAAAGGGAATCAATTTTAAACAAATTTGCTATACTATGTATTTTATGTGTTTGTATGTTAAATTTAATTTCTTTTACTTTCTCCAAAGCAACCACAATACTGGTTTTGATGAAGGGTCACCCTAAAACCACTTGCATCAACTCCTGCCATCTTGACTGAGTCAGAAAGATAAAAAAGCAAAACAAAATATTTCCTTTGCTTTCTTTCCATACAACCTGTCTTGTAATTCTTTTCACACATAAATTTGAACTGTTCATTTTCTTTCTATTTCATAAACTTGTGCCTGCTCTAGCTCCCTTCCAAACATTAAATTCTCTGCAGTGAGACTTGGTACATAGAAGAATACAAAAAAATGCTCCACAGGAGTAGACTAAATGCTGAAGCTAGCTCAGTGGGACTGGTGATGGCCAGCTTCCAAGATGGCACCCAGTGGCCTGCCCCCGGGACTCACGTGCTTGTGTATTGCCTCCCACTTCAGTCCAAGGGTGTAACAGCCTTTCTCCAAGCACATGTGGCAGAAATGGAACTTGTTTCACATCTGCCCTAGTGAGCCCTTGATGCTTTGACTGTATATTACCTCCTGGAGCAGCTGCCACACCCCTACCTTTTCACCATTTCCTAAAACAACACCCTCAACAAGGTTACCTTGTATGTAATAGTCTTTTATCCTCAAGTTCTTTTATTTTATTCATTCCTTCACGCATCCACATTCATCTAGAATCAGAGCAATATTTACCTATTTTCCCATGTTATCCATTACATGCTCAAATTAACTTAACTTTTCCCCGTAGGAAATTATGAAAGAAGATTTGTAGCTTTAGCATACTATTGTGTGTATATTTTGGTTTCTGTTTGTTCTTGCAATGAAGTAGGCAGAGGCAGGGATTACAAAGAGATTAGATCATTTAGCTTCATAGACAGCTATAAAGTACTAGAAGGGAATATTCAAAAAAACTTATCTCAGCTTTGGGAGTATGGATGCATTTTTAATACTTTACAGATTTGCTAAAACAAATGTTTAATACATTTTATAATCAGAAGAATATTAAAAGTATCACATGTATTCATATATTAGCTGTGCCTTTGAACATGGCACTCTCCTAAGACCTGAAATGTCATACAATCTGAAGAAAAATGCCACAGACCTTTAGGAGACGACATACGGTACAAGAAAAACAGGAAATGATGACAAAAGACAGTAGGAAGTCAGGGAAATTTTATAATTTAGAGATATGAGTTTGAAAGGGGTGTGGTGCAAAAAAATCCCACCTAAACTAAAATGGGAAAATCAGGTTTTATGAAAAGGAGGCAACGGGGACAGAATTCAGCATAAAGGCCAAGACCACTTGCAAAAAAAAGACATCATGGACCTTTAGTCTCCACTCGGCTGCTACAAATATTTGTGAAGCTGTCAACCAGCTGATGTAGAGATCTTGTGAGAATAAAGGATTAAAGGCTGTAAGTGATAACAAGAGTTATCCTAGATCAGGAAAAAGAGGCTAAAAGGAAAGAACTAAGACAGAGATCAAAAATTAGGTGGCTATGACTTCTGATAGTTCCGCAACATACTTCAGAATCACTCTGATCTGTTTGGCCAATAAATGAGTTTCTAGAAGGCACCCAAGAAGATGGATATGAGTGGATGCCACTGAGATTCTCAAAGTGAAAAGTTTGATGGGTCCAATACATAGAGTTCCTTTAAACAAGACTATATTTTGACTTTGACTTTCTAAAAAGTCAAATTTTAAATATCTGAAATTGAGTTTCTGGCTTGAACAAACTACTAAATACAGACTTTTGATTTATTCCATATTTTAGAGGACTCCAGAGAAAAAAAGTTTTCTAAAGCCACATGCACAACCCTGGGAGAAGCAAAAGACAGGTCAAAGACATTATCTTTATTATGTGCTACTGGTCATATTGCCTTAAAACAATATTCATATTTGTATAAAACTATAAGAAAACAGATACTATAGAATCTTACTTGAACAAGACTTTAAAAATCATTTAGTCCAAATACTCATCTAGCTGAACCCCTTGTTGAACATCCCCACTAATTTCACAGTTATGCTTGAACATCTGCAGGTCACAGAACTCACTATTTCCTAAGATTGTACGATCTATCCATGGGCACCTCCAACTTTGAGAAAGCCTGACACGTTTGTTCTAGATTATTTTATTTTTAATCTTCAAATTACCCAAATCTATTATTTAGAACTGGTTTCATTTTAACCAGAAAGCTCTGCAGAAATATATCATATATCTATATAGCAAAACTCTGAATTTTTTACTTTGCTTGGTCAAAGATTATTCAGATAATAGATATTTTATATATCATAATCTAGAAACACAAAGGATTAAACAATACAAATCAGGCTTCTTCTGTTCATAGTGATATATGCATCACATTTCTCATATTGAAACCCAAAAAAGTACAGATACGTGAGTTTTCTTGCTCTTAATGACGCGAAATGTAAAACAGAATTCCATGGGCAGGTATGACTGCCCCATTCTGACCCAACTCATTATGGACTACTGCCGTATCCAACGTATGGAAAACTCATATATGTAGAGAAAATCTGCAGAGATAATCCCTTGCAAGCAGAGGAGTAGACTGGAAAACAAAAACAAAAAAACTCAAATCTCCTGCTTTGAATCCAAAAACATAACCACATTTTGTTGAAATGGGCATTAATGTACCAGGCACATTCCAATCATTCCCAGCAACATGAACCACCAGATGTTTACTGGATTACACGTTTTAGCACAATTATATTCACTGAGCCTCTTATGACGACTCTTTGGATTGACAACACATTTTAATAAAATATCTGAGAAAATAGCATAATTTTGTTAAGTAGAAGATGAACAATGTAAGAAACAAGAGTTAAAACAACAGCAACAACAAACCCCTATCCATCCTCAAACTACCTGGAATTATATGTGTTTACAGCAATTAGCAATTGGCAAGAATTCGGAGCTCTTGAGTGGAATATAAATATAAAATACATGCAAAATGACCAAAAAGTGAAATGAAAATTTATTCTTAAAGAAGTACATACTGAATATGCCAGTGAAATTAAAAGAAAAATCCAGTCTTTAGTACGAAACCCTCCTCCCTGCCTGGCCACCCCCACAGTGCTCTGCAGATGGCATACAACACCAGTCGCAGGAGCACGGATGCACTTGCTCAATGCATTTTAAATACACACATAATCGCAACAATCCAAGTCTTCAGGAAAATAAAATGAGATTAAAGGGTCACATTCCAAAGCAGTGATTTATTATTTGTAGCAATGTCTTAAAGGTTTCATTTTTTCCTGCTAACACTCTCTCCCAACACCCAGAATCTGAGGGAAAAAATAAGTTTATATGTAAAAAGACCAGATGAAGAAAACAAATTCATACTGAGGGGAAAGCTTCATCCATCAATGTGAACAAGGAGTTTAAATCACTCGCATTCCACTGGTTTTCTTGGGGAAAGAAGGCTCTGCAGAAGAGCCCACAATCCACATCCCACTTGGAGCAAAAGCCCTTCTCACCCCAAGAGCCCTAGTGAATCATGCCATTGCCATCTGTCCCACAAGACACCCCCTCAAAACTCACTTCTGGCTAGCAAAACAAGGTGTGTGCACTTTCTGGTACTGTTTTATCAAATACTGCTTTCTCTTTAAGGATTATTTCTTAAAAAAAAAAAAAAAAACTGCCAATGTTCCAATACAGGCTCCAAAGGGTTGGGGAAGGCACCCTGGAGGGCTACTATATAAGACTCCTTTTGAGACATGTCTACAAATGTCTATCTATCAGAATGAACAAACTGTACTCCAAGTAACTAGGATCAAGTACTTGAGCCACCCAAGACCAGGAACTGCTATGTTTATCTTTTTGTTTTTCCTTGAAGTTCTATAGCATAGTTGGGACCATAAAAGCCTTAGAAGGTAAAAAGATTGACATTTACTGAGACAATAATGCAATGTCTCATTTTATACTTGGGGAAGGTGATACTGTATAAGGTTAGGTGACATGCCCAAAACTATGAAGCTGTGTAACAGCAAGACCAGAGATAGGCCTGGGTCTTTGGACTCCTGCTCCAGGAATCACTCTGCATAAACAGATGGTTATTCTGGAAAATGTGTCCTACAACACAGAGCAAGAGGGAGGCATTTGCTAGTGTAACGGTTTACTAAATCATTCCCTAGATAAAGACTCATCACACTTCTTTACCCAATAAAATCCAGCCTGTAAAGAGTCACAGTCAATGTTTATTTAATCTGTTGATGTTCAAAATATGTTACATTAAAAGACAGCTTTTTAAAAGCCCTACAAGTCAACCACTGGCTACACACATATCGTTCCCATCGAAGGGACAACCATTTTTAAGTAGGTCACAAATAGTAATGTCATGTAATTTAACGTGTGATGACTAACAACACATTTTAAAACGGAAGCCAATTTATTGTTATAATTTCTAAACTAGTGCAGACATACAGACTATGATTGTTGAGGCTTGTTTTTAACAGTAAAAACTGAATTTCAACTCCCCTTTTTCCCAGCTGCAGTATTGAACTTAAACGTCTACTAGATCAGTGGGTGGAAGATCAAAGAACATTTAAAACATTTTAACTTTACTACCCACAAGGACGTGGGAGTAATATGTCAGTGGGACTAAAATGTATATGACAGAGTCTTAGAGATTCCCTAACTCAACAAGAAGCTGGTTGTTCCCTTTTTAAAGAAGCAACACTCACTCTTACCTTTGCTCAGTCTACTTTTTAAAGCTGGCAAATATAACAAAAGAGTTAAATCGGAATCTAAAAATATACATGTTCTTATATGTTCAGTTTCCAGTGCAGGTGAAAACACTAATCACAGCTGATAATCTGAGATTTCTCTTATCTAGATGGCCTTGTAAAAGGTTTCCCTTCAAGTGAGTAATATGTAATCCACACTAAGAATAAACTTAATCTTTAAAAAATGGAAAACATTAATTCTTTCTATTTCCTCCCCCTTTAATTCCCAGCCCAAGGAAGTACAGATGTGAATAAATGTATCTAAATATAATCAGTAGAGAAAGATGTCAATCTCATTTCCAAAAGCCTGAATCAAGCTGGAGGAGAAAGAAGCAGCAATAATGGATGAGTGGGAAAAGCATACTGACCTCCCTGGCCTGGGATGCCCTGAGGCTGCCTCTGACCAGCACCCGCTTCCATCTGCCCAAATCTCATCTATCTATAGACCCCATTCTAATTCTATCACTCCCAAAGAGCGTTACTGGAGTACAATATACCCTCCAAACTCTAATTTTCTCAACTATTTCAGCACCCATTATGAGAACCCCAAATAAGTAACAATTATAGAATGCCGTATATCCCTTGCTAGCTGTTTACATGTTGTCAGTTTTGTTTCCCTATTTAAACCATTAAGATGAAGAACCTGCAACATAACTCATGCTTTTAAAATGTTTTCCATAGGAATGACATGCAAATGGACAAACAGGTGGTTGAGAAAACAAACAAGCAACAAACTATGCTCCATTGAATTAACATAGCAAAACTCATGCCTCTAAAGAGTGACCCATAGTATTTCCTCCATAGGCAGTGCCTGAACCTAGGAGTACATGAAACACGTGTAGCTGCATATGACACATGTGCTCCAGTTCCTCTGAAAAGACCAGGTATAATGATCAATATTACTGTTGTTGTTATTCATCTGCACAGAAAACTAAGTGCCATAAGTAATACTTAGGCATGAGCTGTCATGCAAACTCTGCAAATGCCTTTGTGCATATACGGATTTAATTTTTCTTTCATTTTTGGATTCATCATCCAGTGTACTTTCTCATTTTATAGAAAGTCATTAAAAAGATCTTCAGTAGCTATTTTAATATAATCTAAGTTAGTTCCATAGGCGTTTCTCTACTGAAGATCGATTAAATGCTTAGTACCCAGCGACATCCTGAAAGAAATACAAAAAGACATATGACAGAGTTCCCTTTCTATTTTGAGTGGGGGAAAAAAAACCTGTTCCTTCTATATCTCCAATACCATATCTCCCAGGGCTTTCCATACACTAATAGTTCAAAGAATATGTCAGTGGTACTGCATTGTTTACAGAATAATGAAATTTGTAAGTATAAACATAGCAAAGTACAGTAACCTTTCTAAAATAAGCAATCATATGAAAGCCAAGGACATAAAAATAAATACATTTTGAGCACATTTTTAATTCTAACTTAAATTTCTGGAAGAGTTGATTCTCCCAGACACTGTCACTAAAAAATCATGTACTGATTTCAAACCTCTCATGTTTCCTGAGGCAGAAATTGATTGGCAACTTCCATTTCTATACATATCGGAACACCTAATGAAGCTTCCTACAGCCACAGCAGTGAAACACTATCACAGCCATATGAATGCAAGTCAAGATCTGTAAACTTACATGTCTATAGTTATACAGAAAATTATTCTTTTGAGGGCTAATAGATTTAAGAAGAATGAAAATACCAAAAAGAAAAGAAAATATGACCGCACGGTTTGGGTTCTTTGTAAGCAGGTCAGGGTGGAAGAATCATGTGGATTAGAGATCTCAGTAGTGGGACGAGAAGAGGGAGAATGCCTGTCACCAAGGCTATTACAGTGGTCTAAAAATGGAAGAAGAAAAATGAGGCAAAATCATATTGGGCATGCAAAACAAATAGCGGTAATATTAAAGCCAGGAATCTACTTAGAGTTCTTACTGTTGGGATGGGTGTGGTGGCTTATGCCTCTAACCCCAGCATTTCGGTAGGCCAGGGTGGGAGCATCTCTTGAGGCCAGGAGTTCAAGGCCAGCCATAGCGAGACTCCCATCTCAACAAAAAATAAAACATGAACTGTGTGGTGGTGTGCACCTGTAGTCTCAGCTATTTCAGAGGCTGAGGCATGAGGATCACTTGAGCCCAAGAGTTTGAGGTTGCAGTGAGCTATGATCACTCCACTGTACTCCAGCCTGGGTGAGAGAGTGAGCCTCTGCCTCTAAAAAAAATAAAATAAAATAATTCTTTCTGTTGGTGGAGACCTGCAGGGGAAATATACAGAGTTAATGTGGGCATATAATTCTTCATTTGAGAAAGATAAATGGGCTTAACAAATGATTCAAGAACAAATGAGCTTACTAATAAATGGAGAAATGAATAAATAAAGGCATGAATAAAAGCAGCAAGGAGATAACATAAAACTAACTAATAGTCTAAGTCCCTGGATATAAAAAGAAACACATGGTCAAAGAACAATCATAACAACTAATTGGGAATCCTGGGAGATGTGGAATGGGTGGTGGACTTAGGCAAAATTATTAGCTAAGAAAAAAAAAAAAGAAAGAAAGGTCGTATGAAAGGATTTTAAGAGACAGACAAAGTGAACTGAATTCTCCCATGTTGGGTATCATTGAGCAAATCTAATTCCCTAATTCTTATCTGCCAAATAATCTTCCTTAAAGTTTTTGGTGCAGCAAATGGGTTCTACTTATGGACTCCCCATACTTCCTATGTATCCAATGCCTGGAGTACATCCACCCTTTAAAACTAACTCAACACAATTCTATCCATCCTGCCAGTCTAACTCAATGCAAGCCCCAAGAACTCTTTTTTCTTTAGGAAACTTAGGAAATAGTCATTTCTCTTTTTCTGCATCCAGCTTTGGTAAAAGGGGCTACAAACAGACAAGGGACAGAAATACCTAAAGGAGAAAATACAAGGAAGGTCAGATCTCCGAAGAAATGAATATTACAGATTTCCATGGTTGGGGTCAGAAGAAAGATGAAAAACAAAGTATTTCAATCCCACTTTGTTCTAAGGGGTAAAGATCCATTACACATCCTTCAAGTAGGCTAGCTTTTGATTTCGGGAACCACTAGTGGCAACGGGCTTGGCATTCTTTTCTACTACCGTCCTACCTCATATTCCACTTTCTCCTCCTTTGAGAGATGGGGGCATCTGGAATGGAGTCAGTATATGTCCCAAACTAAAGGACAGCCAGGGAGAGGAAGAGGACCGACTGAGGTGAACTTTTATTTTTCCATTTTATTTTATTATTTTTAATGAATTCCTCTGGCATTAAACCTGTAAGATGAAATGGATATAATCACCCCTAGATTACTGACCAAGAAGACACTGCCACGATACCAAAGACAATATAATGTGGAGACTCTAGGCAACTCCTGAAGAAACAAGTTATAAAAGAGAGGGGAAACAAAATTAGTGGCACCAATGGCAATGACGCAAAGAAAAAGAAAAAAGAAATGCCAAGCTGTAGCCAGGCAATGCAATGTAAAACCATTGCTTCATGTCCCGCCCACTTCCACACCCACTGAGAGTGCTGTTCTTGGGGACGAGAAAACAGCTTGAGGTAACAACAGAAGAATCAATGCCAAGCCATGCTTATCTCTGAGCCAAGACACTAACCTCACAGTTCATGGACATTATTGAAAAACAGAAGACAAAGACAACAGGAGAAGCTGACTGCGGTTCTCTCCTTCCTTGTCCACCACTTCCCTAAACCCAGAAAGGCACTCCTATGCCAAATCTGCTTAAAAATCATATGAATCACTGGCCTCTGTTTCTTTTATGCATTTATTGAGACCAGCCTACACTGACATCGATGAGCTAGTGAGAAATTGCCAAGTAATAAGCAGCCAGAGACGTGGTTACTGAACTTTAATAAAATGACAGCTTAGAATTTAAAGACAAAGAAATGTCTTTTATCTCCTTCCACACATAGAAAAGGAACAGAGCTGCTTAAAAGAACCACTGCAATTCCCCAATTTTTCTTGTATCCTTATTTTAATATCAACTGCTGTATAGCTGATTATAATCATTATGTTATTATATCACACCCTAGATATAAAAATTTAAATAAACTACAGGATTATCTGCTACCTGGAACTAGGTCCAAATCTCCATCCATTCTCATGACTTTAACACATCACAAAAGATTTCCAAACAATTCTATCCTCTCATCGGGGTGTCCATTAGAACATAAACTCGATGTCTGTTCTGTTGCGTCTTTATAACCCCTGGAACATGCTAAATGGGCATCAATTGAATGAACCTAATTCTAATGAAATCTCAGATTTAGCTTATGCAAAATATCTTTATTCCAATGATACCACAACTAGTCTTAACACTCCAACTGCTCTTCTGAGCTCTAACTTTATATATAGTCTTAACTCATCTCTGTTCTTCATTTCCACTATCCAGACAGCCCACCATCTAGGAAATTTTCTTTAGAAAATAAATTGCTAGGCTGGATGTGGTGGCTCACGCCTGTAATCCCAGCACTCTGGGAGGCCGAGGTGGGAGGATCACCTGAGGTCAGGAGTTCTAGAGCGGCCTGGACAACACAGCAAAACCCCATCTCTACTAAAAATACAAAAATTAGCTAGGCAGGCTGGGTGTGGTGGCTCATGTCTGTAATCCTTGAACTTTGGGAGGCCGAGGAGGGCAAATCACGAGGTCAGCAGTTTGAGATTAGCCTGACCAACATGAAACCCTGTCTCTAACTTAAAAAGAAAATTAGCTGGGTATGGTGGCAGACACATGCCATCCCAGCTACTCTGGAGGCTGAGGCAGGAGAATCACTTGAACCAGGAGGCAGAGGTTGCAGTTAGCTGAGATCACGCCACTGTACTCCAGCCCAGGCAACAGTGCAAGACTCCAACTAAAAAAAAAAAAAAAGCCAGGCATGGGCACCTGTGATACCAGCTATTTGGGAGGCTGAGGCAGGGAGAATTGCTTGAACCCGGGAGGTGGAGGTTGCAGTGGGTTGAGACTGTGCCACTGCACCCCAGCCTGAGCGACAGAGCAAGACTCTGACTCAGTAAATAAATAGCTAAATTAAATAGAAAAAATACACACACACACACACATCTCTTTTGGCAATCTTGTCTAAGTTGGCTTTTTTATTTTCACTATCGGCTTACTGATTACAGACTAAAAGTCTCTATTGCTCAGAAGTTATTTGTACTTATCCATTACTCACCTACTGTCCCAAGTAAAAATATGCTCTTAAGAAAAACCATTCAAAGTCCAACTTTGTAACATATCTGATCCATCAAGTTGGCCTCCTCATTGCCCTACTAGTCTACTAAACTATTTTCTAGACTTCTATTTAACCCACTTTTATCCATTTAGTCCATTAGAATGCATATTCCATGAGGTAAGGCATTTTTCACTGTTGTATCTTCACCACCTAGATTAATGCCTGAAACATATGGGCCCTTAAATATTTGCTGAATGAATGAGTTTAAGAAAAAGAGGGGAAAAAAAGAGAAAGGGAAGTAGAGGAGAGAGTGTTAAACTTTAAAAGGAGTTTATCACTATAGGTTCAGGTCAAGTCTCTACTTTCACGGATCACTTCAACCTTCACTGATTTCTCTCTTCTCTGATTTTCTATGGAATTTCTGCATGGAAAAACAATTTAGCACCTAAATACTCAGTCCAAGAATTCAATGAATAGATGAGAAACTTGTATCCATAGAACTCTGCACAACAGACATGGTCTTTGCCTTCTCCAAGCTTATAGTCTCATATAAACATTCAACAAAGGCAACTAAAGACCAGCTACTATAGGTGCACATAGAAAGAACACTTAATTTGGACTTTGACAACAGGTATGGCTTCTCAGAGGAAGGGGTAGCTAAGCAAACACTTGAATGGTGAGTATGAGCTAGTGAGACAAAAAGAAGGGAGGAATGTTTCAGGCAGAGGAAAGAGCATGGATGGAGACCTAGAGGCAAGAGAGAGTGATTAGGAAAAGTGTTTAGGAATTGAAAGAAGTTCAGTGGTTCCGGAGCTCATGGGCAGGAAAGAGCCAAAGCTACTGGGGTTGGCAAGGACCAGACTTTGGAGGGCCAAGAAGTCACCTTGAGTTACAAAGCATGAGCTAAAAATGTGAATTATGTGAAGTAATGCATATGTTAATTAGCTTGATTTAGCTATTCCAAGATGTATACATATTTCAAAACATGTTGTACATGATAAATATAATCTTTATGTGTCAATTAAAACTTTTTTTGAAAAAAGCAGCTATGAAAATGAATATGAAAGGGAAGCTGAGAAGGGGAAGGAGACAGAGAATGTAGAAGCCTCACAGGTCAGTTCTGCCCCTCAGTCTAAAGGATGATTTCTTGTGAGAAAAGCAGAGGCCTGGTTTCAGGATTTCTTTCTATCTCAAAATGTCTGTTCAAAAAATATCGCATTCACACACATACACACACAAAACCTGTTGATTTGAAAACTTTGATTCTTCCTGCACCTTTCCCATCCAAAGAAAAAGAGTAATTGCAAAATTTAACAACTAAACAGAGACTAATAAGCAATTTTAAATGCAGGAGACTTCATCAACTATAAGAACCTTATGTCCCTTTCAATTTTCTTCCCCTTTGAGACTCTGAACTAGTCAGCAGAGATTTCTGAACTAGACTTCCCCCACAATCCACAATCCTATAAATTCTCATAATTATGCATTCTGTAAAAGCTTAAGCAATGAGCTAAGGAAACAGCTCAAGTCGTTGTGATTTCAGTTTCTCGTTTGCATCAGATTAACTGGCTCCTTTAATCCACAGCAGTGTCTAACATTAGTCCAGACTCAATATCAAGTTTTAGTCAAATGTGGTACCTTGTGTAAGGCTGTCTCACCCAAAATTATTTCAAGATGAAGAGGGCTGTATCTAGGCTTATACAGTTCTCCTAAGAACATGTCACCACATTAATAAAAGAAGCGTGCAACAACTATTAAAAGAATAAACAAAGATCAAAAGCTCCTAAGACAAAAAAAGGGTGCAGGTTTCTACGAAAGGTGTAGATTTTAACTGGATAATTTTTAGTAATTGTATATTAAGAAAAGATACCCGGCATCTGTCTCATACATTACCTTCAAAAACTCTTCTTTCTCTAAATAGCTTGTACTCTCTCTGGACCATGAATGAAAAGGGGTCACTATGAGAAACTACAAATGCCGTTCTGGGGGAGAATCCTTCATATCCCCATCTCAAACCTACTACACAGGAGAAGGAAATATATCCTCATGCTAAACCTTCCACTGAGGAAATTACTAATTTGATTTCTCTTAGCAATGTTGCTACAATGCACTAAACAACATTTCCACTGAGTAAAAACTCTTACTTATCAAATTCATGTATTTCCATTTTAATTAGGATAGCAAAGTCTAAATTCCATAAAGACTGGAAAAGAAAGCACCATAAATCAAAAAAATCTTCCCCACTTTTGAAACAGGGACATCATATGGCATACTTGCTATTGACTTGCAAAAATAAGAAATACGCTGAAGTATTGTCTTTTTCTAATGACAAGAAGTATGCTGTGTTTTTCCCAAGGTAGCACTTCTTTTGAGATATTTTGAGTATGAAATATTTCTTTGGTACAGCTGTGAAAAATATGCATTCATTCCACAACCACACAACAATAAAATGAGGACCTGACCTTCTGGAGATGAAGATACCATGGCACAACCATCAACATTGCCACCAATTCTCATCTGTTAATATGTAAAATCTCTTTCTCCAGCTGACAAGTGGTAACTATTCTCCAATATAAACAAACATAGACATCTCATGTTGTAACTAAAAAATTACCTAGTTTTGACCTGTCATTATAGAGAAAATAAAAAAACCCTTTATATATAAATATGAATGAGATGACCATGCATTATATCTGAACTAGCAATTCGATCTTTAACAAAGCTGACCCTTAGTACCTTTGAGAAAAGTGAAAGAAGAAAGAAGGGAAGATGCACTATATCCATTTTTACATTCACTGGCCTTTCATCCGTCCACTTAAAAAGTATTTGTTGATCACCTTTTATGTGCCAGATACTGTGCACTGCAGAATGTGTACCCATATTTTTGGCTTCTATCCATTAAAATACCAGTAGCAGCTAACTGCCTCAGCTGTAACAACCAAATATATCTCCAAACATTGCCATATGTCCCTTGGGAAGCACTGCCTTAGAGGTTAAGATTCTGTAGCCACTGTTTTTCAGAAATTTAAGATATAACTACAAGACAAGATGTGTATACTTGAAATACATGAAAACACTGAACAAATAAATAGCCTGTAATAACATTTTAGGGTTGGCAAGATGGCTACCAAAAAAAAATTCACATGTACCTAGCTAAGGTTGAAAATAATGTTTATTTTTTATTTTATTTTATTTTTTTTTTGAGACAGAGTCTCACTCTGTTTCCAGGTGCCAGTCTGGAGCGCAGTGGTGCAATCTTGGCTTACTGCAACCTCCATCTCCTGGGTTCAAGCAATTCTCCTGCATCAGCCTCCTGAGTAGCTGGGACTACAGGCGTGTGCCACCATGCCCAGGTAATTTTTTTTTTGTATTTTAGTAGAGACAAGGTTTCCCTATGTTGGCCAGGATGGTCTCGATCTCTTGATCTCATGATCTGCCTGCCTCAGCCTCCCAAAGCGCTGGGATTACAGGCATGAGCCACTGCGCCCAGTCTGAAAATAATGTTTATTTTTAAATAAAACTTAAAAAAGATAATTTCTTTCTTTTTTTTTTTTTTGGTAGGGTATAAACCCAATACTGTTGTGACTATCGATTCCACTGGAACCTGCCTGTCAGAAAAGCCATCTTTTCTTTAGAAAAGAAAAGATAAATTTTCTTTTAGATAAAGAAATTATCTAAAAAATTAAAGATAAATTTTTTTTTAGATAAAGACATTATCTAAAAAGATAATGTCTTTCTAAAAGCCATTCCAATCTGTCCTCTTTAGAAAATTCACCCCTTCACCTCCACCACACACAAAAAAAATGCTCTTCACCAGCCTGGCCAACATGGTGAAACTCCATCTGTACCAAAAATCTAAAAATTAACTGGGCTTGGTGGCAGGCGCCTGTAATCCCAGCTACTCAGGAGGCTGAGGCAGAAGAATCACTTGAATTTGGGAGGCAGAGGTTGCAGTGAGCTGAGATCGCACCATTGCACTCCAGCCTGGGTGACAAGAGTGAAACTCTGTCTCAAACACACACATACACACACACACGTTCTTCATTACAGCAAAACATTTATTCTGACTATGGGCTAATGAAGTCATGGAGTCAGTATTAATAAATAAAGACTAGAAGAATGGAAACAGCAAACAAATCATTAGGTGAGATTGGAAGATTCTGTCAATTAAGAAAGGCAACTAAGATCCTCTATGCCCTTCCTCTTTTATCTATGTGATACTTAAAATTTACTGCCCCGTATCAAACATGATCTCAGTAATTCTTTTTTAATCAACTCTTTAGGACAGTTTGAGGAAAGGAATTGCTAGGCAGAAAGACAACAGAAGAAACAATAAATCTTTAAGTACAAAAAACTGACAAGAAAATGAGAAAAACACTACCTTGTGCACTCAAAGGAAATTGCTTGTAGAAGCTGAAACCAGGACTCAGAACAGGCATGTGTTCTACTCAGGAAATTAAAAGTTGTACTTTAAAAAATGATTTCAGATCCTTTCAGAAAATCTAAAATAAAACTAGATAATTACCTTCTAGGTTTTCCTGGGAACACTTGCAATTTGAACAGAAAATATACCTTGCAAACTCTGCTTGGATCATCTGGGTCATTGTTTTTAAATAAAAATGCTTAACCTAGATCCTTCTACTTTGTTTTCTGCCCATCAGTGAGGAGGATGCACAGCTATTTAAGGAGTCTGAGAGGTCAGTATGGTCTAATCGGGTAGTAGGAAATATACTTTAGGGAAAATAAGTCATCCTTTTTTCCACTGTTTTTCTTTTGAGAGAGAGAAGTAATTTTCTGTCTCTCACATACAACTATAAGAAATTGGTGCCACTGTGCCCCCTAGAGAAATGTCCCCTTAGTAGCATTTCAGGAGAGTCACCTGCTCCAAGTGAGGACAAATATAAAGCTAATAAAACAAACAAAAAACCCCAAAATACACTAATTATAAAGTAAGAAATAGCAACAAAAGAATGCTTAACAGATTTGTACTAAAACAAAATATTGATGGACATACAGAGTCACAGAACTATCCAGACAAACAGTAAACAGATATGAGAAAAGAAGGAAGATTTGGAAGCTATAAATCCTATCTCAGTAATCTATTGCTTTGTAACAAGCTACCCCAAAAGTCAGGGGCTTTACATCATCATCATTTCATTTGCTAGAGATTCTGTGCATGAGCAGTTTGGGGTAGAACTCAGTGAGAACAGGATTTCTCAGCCCCATGTGCTATTGGGTGAGCTGACCTGGGGATGGAAGATCCAAGATGCCTCAGTTCCATGTATGAGCATGGTGCCTGCTGCAAGCTGGAGCGCCTTGATGCTCCTACATATGGCTTCTCTCTCCAGCAGGATAGCTTGAGCTTCCTTCCTTACATGGTGGCTCTGAAACTGCCAGGTCCCTTAAGGCCTGCAGTTAGCACAGCACCACTTGTGCCACACTGTCACACAAGCCAGTCCAGACTTCAGGAGGAGGAGAAACAGACTACACTCCTGAGGAATAGAACGACATCGTCATACAGGGATAGGAGAACTACCAGGACATTTTTTTTAACAGATAATCTACCACAAACCCCATTATTGTGAACCACAATAATATAAAATAAAATTAGAAAAAAGAAAAGATGACCAGGACTTTTCTGGTCTTTCCTATACACACCCCTTCCCCACTACCACTATCTTCCGCCCTTGACTCTTCAACCAATGAAGGAGAGAAAAGAAAGAACAGAATGAAAGGTGCAATGCGGACTACAGCATTACAGACAGCAACCTTGGTTAAAACATCTTGTTAGGGTTTTTAAAAATCAGAAAGAGAACAAATGAATGAGTATCCAGAACCACCACTAAGTTTCTTATTACTTATGGCTAAATATGTTTTACACAAAAAGAAATGCTATAAGAACTTAGTACCAGGTAAAGAATATATAAATTGATAGAGAGAAAAGTTCTTTTTTTTAAACAAAATAAGAGATTCTACTTTTTAGGGTTGTAATTGTAAAAGTTCAATGCTTCTAGCATGTCTTTCTGGAAGAAACACTAGAGCAATCACAAGTAAAAAATAAAATTGATAAATGGAGGTGGTAATACAGTAGATTCTGTGGACAGTGTCCTTTTTCCTGCACTAAAGTGCAGTGCTGCAGAATACCATGCCCCTCTTGAAATCCTGACTCTTTGGGAATAGAAATGGGGGTATTACTCATGCACGACCTTTGCCAAAAAGTGGCTGGCAGATGGGTTTACATAGCAAAGTGGAGATGTGATGAGATTATTCTGAGTCCCCACGAAACTAGCCCAGTTGAGCCTGGACAAGAGTTTCACTGGATAAGAGGCTCTTTACTTTCACAGAACACTGACAAATGTGCCATGTCACAATGACTTCCACTCATGCCCTGGTTTGTCATCATTCCTCCCTCCACTCCTTAACAGAAACCAAAAAAAAGGCAATTATCTTTCTTCCAGCTATAGATGTTAATCCTCAACTAAGTTTTAATAAGATCCCATACTGACAATGCCTGCAATGTAGTAGAAAAGCTTTGAAGCCTGCAAATCATTTAGGACCAAAAGGAGGAAATTCAAGTCCAATTATGGGAAAATGAAAAAAAGAAAAAGAGCAGAAAAGCCCTTCAAATCAGACCACATAGAAGGCCAAAACCATAGATGAAAGGAATTAAGAAGCTACAGGCTTTTTTGCTGCCTTTTAAACATAGACCCATAGGCAAAGTCAGCACTTGTTTAACATATCCACAGGTATTAAAGTCTATAACATATAAGGTGGTAGAAAAATAATTTCAGTGACTGTTACTTATGGGTCTGGATAATTCTCAATATTGACAAACATTGGTCCTCATGTAAAAGACAAAAGTAGAAAATATCACTAAACTTGGAGGTAGAAACCAGATTTCGATTCTGTCTCTATGTATAGCCTTTGGAAAATTACTTTTTGTTTCAAAGCCCAAGTTTCTTTGTCTATAAAAATATGGATAAAAGTATCTTCATTCAAAGAGTTGTACTGTAACTGTTCAATGAAATTCATTTATATGTCTGAAAACAGTATCTAATAAATGTAAACTGTGTATGATTCTGATCTTTAATAATTGATTATGATTCCCAAGTAAAAATACTTTTTCTTTTTTTAAATCATGAAAAAGACATAATATTTGTTGTCAGAAGGTGATGGTTCTGGCAAGATTATCTTGGGTAAGTCTTTTCTCGTCACAAGTCCAAGTTCTCCATTTCATTTATATGCTTGAAAACCTGAGTATCATTTGGGGGCACCAAGAGTAAACATGGCAAATAAAATCCCTGCCCATATAGAATTCAGTAAGCCATAGGGAGACCTAAAAGAAACAAGTGTTCAGTGTTGGCTAGTGTTTTCTATAAAATGAAGTGACTGGGTTAGAATGTCTTCAAGACCCTCTCCTGATTTAGCTTGTAACTGTAAATATAAAAGTCAACAAAAAGAAGGAAGATCATAATTTCTCATTCTGATGTTATGTAAGAGGTTAAATCATTCTTTCTCAGGCTGAAATCAAAAGGTTCCAGAGAACAGCAATGTCATTACAAAGGCTTTCTGCACTAAAAACAAACGATCCTCATCTAAGATGAAAACTTAAAATTCTACTGTTAAAGGGAAAATTAGGTCTTCACATCAAAGACTGTGCCCTTTATCCCCTTGAAACCAATAATTCACAGAGTAATACTGGCACATATGCACAGGACCACCCATGCCTTAGCATACAGAATCAGAAATAATGGCTGAGATATTCACAATCAGAGTAATACACCGAACAGCGAATGGACAATGAATGCACAGAGTGGACACACTACTCCCTAGGATAAGATTCATAGGGGAGAGGAATGCTTTATTTGTGCCTTTACACTTTATATTCTTTATTCACCTTACAAACATATCTAAGGCTATAGTAGTTAGAAGGAGGGTAGGTTCCACAAGCACAATTTTTCTCTGACACATTTCTATCTCCTCATAGCATGGCTTTTACTGGTAACCTCAAGTGGGTAAGTCTCACATAAAAAGCTTGAGTTTTCAGAATGAATCAGACAAAGACTAAGAAATAATGATCATAAACAGTCAGAATCAATACAAATTTATGAGGCTGATGAAACAATAAGCAAACAAAGGAATACTGGATACCAACAAGAGTTCTTTAAATAACTTTTTAGTGATATATATATATATACATATATATATATAATGGGAAACTTAATGTTGAAGTTAACAAGAAACACACATCTGAATAGTTTTAGGAAACTTATTTGGCAAATTGAACCAAGATTGTCTAGCAGAATTCATTAAAAATATAAATAAACAAAAACAATTTATGTGCTTATTATAAATAGGTTTCATGTAGTTTCTGACAAACTTCAAGTTTCCTAAAACAATGTACATTAAAACAAATGAGCACATGTCCTATACTACAATTTACCTTTTTAAGTATAAGCATAAACTTTATACACCTCACATACTTTCTATAACCCCCAATTTCCATACTTACAAACTTTGGAATAAGATGCCCTATATTATGCAATCAGCATTCTAGCTCTGCCACTTACCGTGAAATTGAAGGCAAGACACTTAACTACTTTGTTCCTTAGTTTCTCCTTCAGATCTAAAGAGTAAAAATAATAATGGTACCTATCCTCAAGAGTTATTGCAAGAATCAAACATGTTAATTTATTTAAACACTAGAATGATGCCTGGTACACAATGAAATTTTTTTTTTTTTTTTTTTTTTGAGACGGAGTTTCGCTCTTGTTACCCAGGCTGGAGTGCAATGGCGCGATCTCGGCTCACCGCAACCTCCGCCTCCTGGGTTCAGGCAATTCTCCTGCCCCAGCCTCCTGAGTCGCTGGGATTACAGGCACGCACCACCATGCCCAGCTAATTTTTTGTAGTTTTAGTAGAGACGGGGTTTCACCATGTTGACCAGGATGGTCTCGATCTCTTGACCTCGTGATCCACCCGCCTCGGCCTCCCACAGTGCTGGGATTATAGGCTTGAGCCACCGCGCCCGGCCAACAATGAAAATTTTTAAACGCTGAGAATTTTATCATCTACTGTGTTTATTAGCATACACATTTATAGGTGAATATGTGTTAGAAAACACCATTTACTAAACTGTTTACTAAAACTGGGTCTATTTATTAATCCTACATTTAGTAAGAGTTTGAGAAGGGAATCATCACCAAAAATCCCTAAGTTATCTCCTCTGATCTTCAATGGGGCTGTAGTTCAATTCCAGAAAAACATTTTATAGATATAAGGAGAGATTACCTCCAGAGCAGAATAGTGTGTTAAGATATGGAAATAATGGTGCACAAAAATAAGAGATGAAAAAAATTGGGAAAGTTTCACCTAAGAGGAAGTAACTTAGCTGAATCACAGAAGGAATCTTCAAATACCAGAATAGTCATCAATTAAATCAGTAATTAGACTTATTATTTGTTTTTCCAAAGATAAATGTGGCTGATGATCAGGAAAAACTTTTTAATCAAAGCTTTCTGAGGGCAACGGGTATTCTTTCCAAATGAATGTTAACATTAAAAACAAAATGGTGCTTTTCAAAGAAGGAGAGATGATTATGCTGAGTGTGAGGCTGGACTTGACATTATAAAAAATCCCAGAATTGTAGAATATTAACATTTGAAAAGGACATCAAAGTCATCTGCTTTTGTGGCTTATTTGTCCATTGGAATCACCTGGGGAGCTTCTGAAAAAATACTAATCTCATCCCAGATCAATTAAAATCAGAACTTTCTGAGGATACAGGTTGTGCATTATTTTGCTTTTTTGTTTTCTTTTGTAATTGTCCCAGGTAGTTCTAACATATAGCCACAGTTGAGAAACACTGCATTAGGTCACAAATGAGAAAAGTAGGGCCCACTGCTACAAAATGATGGAACTATAATTTGAACCCAGGTACTATGCTATGCTATGTTTTATTCTCCCTCTTTTTTTTCAACAGGGTCTTACTCTGTAGCTCAGGTCGGAGTGCAGTGGTATGCTCATGGCTCATGCAGCCTTGACTTCCTGGGCTCAAGTGACCCTCCCACCTCAGCCTCCCACAAGAGCTGGGACTTACTTTTTAAAATATATTTTTGCAGAGATGGAGTTTTGCCGTGTTGCCCAGGATGGTGTCAAACTCTTGACCTCAGGCAATCTGCTTGCCTTGGCCTCCCAGACTGCTGGGATTACAGGTGTGAGTGACCACATCTGGCCTCTATGCCATTTTAAATACACTAAAATACTCATATAGTCAATGGCTTTATAATATGCATAAGGCTACAAATTAGTCTTGCAAATATAGGTTTTCTGGGGAAAAGTATTTTTCTTCCCCAGGGTACAGAATGCTGTCTAGTCTATTATCACTTTCTAACTTTAAAGCAATTATTTAACTGAACTTCAGTAGAAAAAATACACAAAACTCATCTTGTATCATGGGGTTTACTTTTAACTTTATTTTGACCTACTTGAGATTGACTTCCTATTGTTTGAACAAGTGTGCCCTTGCATACATCCTTATCACACAGGCAACAGGAACAGGTTCCTTCTATTCAATTTATGATCAAGAGAAACTGCTTATAAATTATTTTCTGCTTACAGATGATACCAACTAGAAGCTAACTTTTAAAAGTCTGAATCAGTGTGAAATTGCGAGAAGGGCAAAGGAATGGAAATCAGGAAATCCAAATGACTAACATGGGGTCACAGGGAAAGGAAAGCAAGCCCAGAACTGAATGTTAATTCCATAGCTCAGCCTCTACATAACAATCTGTTATCAGGACTTTCTGGTGACCAATTTTGCTTATTATTTCAAAATAGAAGCATCCTGGCAGGCGAGAAAACCATGGCAGTGGGAAGGAGAAGTAGCTGTCCTCTCTATTCTGTCTTTACCCATGCTAATTAGGGCCTTAAACAAGTTACTATTTCCCTGAAACCCCCTTTCTCATTTATAAAATGAGAAGGTTCATCAAGATCATCTCAAGGGTGGACTTCAAGTTACACTGTTATGTGATTAGACAACGTCTGCATTGTCAAGATGGACAGGGCCGATCTATGATGTTTACACTGTGGACAGTTGCTTTTTCTGTGAACAGAATCTATCAGATGCTAAATAGAATCCACACAATAACCATATTATAAAGGGGATCTACCATACACATCACAAGTTAAATTTTTTCCCCATTTATTTGTTTTATTGCATTTTAGGTTTTGGGGTACATGTGAAGAACATGCAAAATTGTTTCATAGGTACACACGTGGCAGTGTGATTTGCTGCCTTCCTCCCCATCACCTATATCTGGCATTTCTTCCCTTGTTACCTCTCCCCAGCTCCCCACCCCCCACGGTCCCTCCCCTATTTCCCCCCAACTGACCCCAGTGTGTAGTGCTCCCCTCCCTGTGTCCATGACAAGTTAAATTTTTAATATGATAATCATTATCAGAAATGAGAATCCCATCACAGGTTAAACCTTAACATGAGTAGGCTGAATGCCAAACTGGTATCTTACTCTCAGCACTGAAGACTCATACTAGTCACCTGATAACTCCACAAGAGAGATATAGACATCATACACATTGAAGGGCTGACTATAGCTACAATTGACTATTTTCCAGAAATGCTATTTTTGGATGGCTAAAAAGTAAGCTATATTCAAAAAATGAGAAATCCCAACTTCACCCCAACAATATCTGGAAAAAAATTCTAATCATTTTTGTTCTAAAATTTCTTTTGGTATATTTTAAAGACAAAAAAATACCATAAGGATGATTACTTTTCCTTTTAAGATGAACCTTAGACTCTTAGGTATCACAGATTGTTTGGAACAACGTGGACTCCAGGGTGATTTCTCCCCGTGATTTAGTTAATACATGTTTATGGTTCAAAAATCATTTTGGAAGGCACACACGGAAAACCTGGAAAAATTCAGATGGATGAAAATTTGGTAATAAATATAGTTAAGGAAGAACATTAAGCAACTGAAAATTAATTTAAATTGAAAATCCTTCCCAGTTATAATCAGGAACAAGGAAGCAGATGATTCTCCCACAAAAGTAAAGAATTGTAGGCAATAAACAGATCTTCTGGAAGAAAAAGGG